CACTCGACTTCCCCTGTCTAGGCTTGGGCAACCTGACAGTATCCCAGCCCTCGTGCTTCCTTCGGGTGGCATGGCAGCTAGGCACCGAAAGGGCGCTACAGCTGAACGATTGCAGCATACTCAACCATCGAATCGCCAGAGGACTTCCGTATACCGATTCCTATTTCATGGAGTTTATCACTCAGTTGTCATCCCCATCACACCGGCTAGCACAACCTAACCACTGAACGACTGTTCGGAAATCCGAAGAGCGGCAGGGATGATTCCAGTCTACTGAGATTGCATACACTTGGACGCATCACGTCGCTGTTCAGAGGATTGAAGACTACGACAGTCATACTCGATTTCGCTTGACACCGCACTGGTCTTCTTAAAAAATGCACCCTGACTGGACTGTCGGCTGAAGCAAGTATTTCTTCCCATAAAATGCACTATGGACTGAGTTAAAAGTAAAATAGGTCAAAAACACTCGTTGCCTAGCGTGACGAAGTGGCAGTAGACCGGTAATGAGGGTGAGAAATAAAATTCTCGTTGAATGAAACGATGGAGCAGGGTTCACCTGGTCTATTCAGTACTCCATAATTCAGGATGGATATCGTCTCCTATTGCCTTCTGCAAAAAAGTTCTCTTTTTTCTTAAAAGCATTGCACCCTGTCAAAAGCCGTATAGCTGTGCAAAACCAAATTCACCTACCCCGGAATATGCGGTGAAGAATCCTCCTTCAATATTCAATGAGGTAAGGGTAATTTGTCTGGCCCTCTCAGCACCAACCATCGCCGTTAGTCTAGACGTAGCACCGAGGGTTAGTTTAGACATGCCATGTTGATCAAACCAATGATATCATGTTACCCTTCTATGCCTAATCTTTCCCCGATCCGCTGAAATTCGGCACTACCTCGTGGTATATTTATTCCTCTACCCCTACGAACTTCTCCAGAAACAACGGGTCACCCTATGTTTCTTTGCTTTCATTTGCATTTCAAAATGCTCGACTAACGAGTCCTTCCTCCAGCCGCAATTCACGTTTCCGTCTAGCACCGTGCAGGGGTGCAACAGCGTGAAACATACAGACAGCCAGGGAAAAGGCAGGAGTAATCATCATCAGAAACAGGTGAACGGCAACCATGTGTATTTTCAACCCACGCGCGCAAATCAGAAAACGAATGATGTAGATTCGGAATGGCTAAGACCGGGTTATTGTCATTTTCGTCACATAGACAGTGTTGTGTGCGCCTGTGTTCATAGAGACTGGACGTAAATAAAAATAGCGCAAGTATTCTAAGGCTAAACAATGCACACACATGCACACCCACGCCCACGAGAACAACAAACACACAGTGAAATTGCAGAGTAGAAACCATTGCGGGAAAAATGAAAATGTCCACACTCCAACAATAATAGTAGTAAAGGTTAGTAATGGTGAGAAAGATAAAGAATGCACAAAGCTCAAATGGTATGCATAGGGGAAGTGGAGAAACTGGGGGTAACGATAGCAGTGTGAAAGAGTTACGTTGTGTCCCAACTAAATTGTAATGGGAAACATGAGACGGGAGAAGTGTTACTCAGTGTGTGAAATCTGTGAGCCATAGAGAGAAGAATGAATGAATAATCAGGACGCAGCCGCTGAAATGAAGAAAATAAACGAAGTCTAGCAGGAGATGCATCTGTATAAAGCCTTTTAACTGTAAGCCATACAATGGGCTAACCTAAGCAGCGACTGAAAGGTAAGAAGGAAGGGGACAGAAGCGAAGTAGTAAACGCAAGACGAAGAGTCGGAGATAATGCAACAGGTTTCGTATGCTTGAACGAATATTCGAAGTTGGGTGAGCTAAAAAAACGAACGCGAAACCACTGAACATTTTTTCGAAAAATGAAGATCATTGAAAGCGATTTTGTACCAAGGTATGAAGTAACTCACTCAGTCCACGGGTATGTACACAAGTAGTAATTATAATCATAGCGGTAATTTTTAAGGTGATCCAAACCGAACCACGAAAGAAACAAAAGGGTAAGCGGCACTAAGCTTGGGCGGCAAAGGCCAAAGGAAGCATCACGAACACAGTAGACCGCACAGTGCACCACACCGGAAACGGAAAGGCAAGCAACTGGACAACACTGGCGGGACCAGGGTTGCGTGAATGTATGCCAACATATTCAGAGATGTCAAAGATTATTGTTTCCGGAGCATGGGTAACAGTGGAAACGAGAATGGAAGAACAAACATTTTGTCCGTAGACTAGAACGTTTCCGCTGTGTACAACCGAGCTGATGACATCACTATGGTGCTGGTGCCTGAGCCATTGTTGAGTTCGGAGAATGATAGTCGGTAACCGTGGTAGGAAAACCAGGGATGATGTGAAAAAATAAGCGTTCATGTATCAAATGTACTGCGGATCACTTGGGTCGTGAGATCCTTGGACCAGGTTTGACTCGCTGATTCAGATTTCGTGCGCCGCCGGACTTTATCGATGAAAAATCCATCAGGAGGCTGGAACTAAGGTGCAAATGGGATGACTTATGGTTCACAGTAGACATCAGAAACGGTTACTACGCAAAACTCCAAACTATGTATCATGGGATAAAAAACGGAGTGAAATCTTCTGACCGGGCGGTAGCATCCGGCATCCAGCATTGGAAGTGGTATACAAGAAATCGATAGAGATACATCAAGCGTCAAAGCTCCGTTGAAAAATGCTGGTGGAAGCTCGACCGGGGTAGCAGCCGGATGGGAGGGCATCTAGTCTGACACAACTAGACTGGAATCAAGTGCGTTGAATGAATGATGGGTAGATGCGTAGAGAAACAACTAACTTATTATTGAGGGCATTCGGCCCAGTAACTTAAAAACTGATTATTCGGACGCAATTAATTTCTCACTAGAAGGTTTCCTTAGTTAATTCTACGGAATAGCTGAAACAGCTTTCGCGCACTCGCGACTGACCCAACCATTCCAATCTCCTGGACTTTCTAGCTTCATCGCTTTCCTCTTATTGAGAAAATGTCTAACCGAATTCGCATCGATAGCGTCTCGCGCATTAACTAGAGCACTCGTTCCGAAATCCAGTTGGTTTTGATGCGTGAACGCGGAAACGTCAAAATTGGTTTCGAGGCATGCAATACTATGGTTGACGGTTACCAATAACGATCTGTTTCTTCCGTGGAGGCCAATTGTAGCAGTAAGCTTCGCTATACAGCCTTATTTGGTCCAGAAAGTTACTTTACTGATAAATGGGGATTTCGGCACGTCAAATTTACTGGGGAACGCGGCGGCCTTTGGCTAACTATTTCCGATGGAGAAACTAACCAACCTAGTCAGTGTATACCAGCTCTACAATCATAAAACACAAGCTACGTGGACTAAAACAACGGAGAGCATAAGGACTGGTCAGAACCAGAAGTGAGGGTTAGAATAGTGTACAAAGCAAGAGAAGCAACTCACATTGACCCTGAAATCCTGTAAGGTTCGGTACTTGTTATCCAGTAAATCCTGTAACCGGTCCTCCACTTTAACCTTTCGCCGACTGTAATGCAAGAACGCCCAAAACTTCTCTAGCCCGTACAGATGGCCCGCATCGTATTCTCGTAGTGCTTCCTCCTAGATAAACGGGGTAGCACAAACGTAAGAGGAGAAAGGGGCGAATGTGGGGCGACCAGAGTCACCATAGAAAAAAAGCAAGATCAAGTTCCTTACATGTGTCACAAAAATTGCTTATCACTATTGAGGGTGAGTTTCAATACGTTTACTGGCCACTAACACCAGTTGTTTGCTGAAGTGACCTTTTGCTGATTACCAAGTGGATTGCCGTTACAAAGCTATGAACAAAGGGTGACGATAAAGTTTTGGACATGACTGGATTCGTGTTGTTTCGTGGTGATAGGTAACAAACGTGCCAACGTACCGAAACTTCATAGTCCACAACACATCGATTTCTGAACCGAAGAATTGATTTCAACAACTAGAACAGGTACCTACGTATCGACTAGTCGTGAGAGGGTAGAAGTTATTTGCCACATGAACCACTATTCACACCCATATCCAAATCTCGTAGAGGGACCGGTCAATGGGTTTGATAAATCCATTTGATTATAGTCGAAAAGTATCACCGACCTGATGAGAAATCATACGGTAAGACTCAAAATGATGAGCACCCTATTCTCAGGAAGATTGATGAAATCTCCGCGGGTTCATTATGAAAATTCCTGTACCAAACGACAGCCAAATGACCCACACGGTTCGGGGAAGGGAAATATTCCTCCCTGAGAGACAGTCGCTACATGACGGCTTTCTTTCATTTACTGGCATTCATCGTCCATTCTGAATCGAGTTACGCCTCTCAGGCTGGTGTTACTAGGTGACCCCAGAGAACGATCATCAGCTGAATGTTTAGTGAAAAGAAATAATGTTTTGCGGTGTATCCAATCGGCATTCCATTATCCAAAACCTTGAAGNAAAACCTTGAAAATGCAAGTTATAGGCAGGCATATAGAAGAAATCAGTTATAAAGCTGACTGACAAGCTTAACGAAGTTCAGGCAGTGACCTAACAAAACTCGGGTAGAAAAACGGTTGCCTGCAACTGATTCTAACTTAAACTCGGTTCCCAATCTAACGCAACAAACCGTGAGTGCAAATTTTCGGGTGCTTTTGGCATGCATTTCTAGCGAAGAGTTTACAGCGTAGCCGTACGATTCATACATTTGATGGATTAATGCTTCGGTCAATACTAGAGAAATGTCACCCGGATACGTGGGAGTACCGGATCAGCAGTACCGATAGGTGAATGTTGAAAAATAACACGTTCCCGAGTGAGAAGCTAGCTACGCTGGTAAGGGTACATAATTTACATGTGGATGAAACGCCAGTGTCGCAGGAGGGTCTCTCGTTAATAATCTGTGATTTGGCAATCAGCTATAGAAGCGTTGACCAGAAAATTGTTGGGCTGACAAATGCCAGGTCCTCGAATGGGGCCTGAGGCAACGTATGTTGATAATAATAGCAGAAATGAACCAATTACGCACCTGATGGACCCGCACATCAAGACTAGCGCCTCCAACAACGAGCAATCACTGGTGGAAAAGTAGCAAACTGCAACATCAGCGAACTCGTGAAGCCTACGTATGAATGATCGAAATTGTAGCGGCGTGTTTTTTGTGCATTATATTATTATAGTTGAAAAGTTGCGCTCAACGTTAACATAGACCAAATGGTCAACGTTCACATGAACATCACAATTCGATGGCCGGATAAAACAATACTCCATCTGGAGTTATGGTTCACACCTGCTAATCGATCTGTGTGCAGAGAATATCTGTGACGGGAGCACTTGCGAATGAGAAATCAGAGCGACAATAATTGGCAGTTGGCGATGTCCAGGCAGGTGTAAGACGAGATTGTTACCATGGTGCACCGTAAAGATCAGCCAGCATCTGTTATGCTTTTCAAATAAGTTGAACTGGATTTGTGGCACGGTGCGCTGGGGACACACTATCACATCAGCTTATCGTCGTACAAAATCAATATGGAACGACACTTTCAATTCCTAGCCAACCGAGAAGCGCACAAAAATTCTCCTTACAATGACTGAGAAGGTCGAAAATTAGTGTGGTCCGTAGGGATGGTAATCTTCGTTTGATGCCACTGTAATGAAGTGCCGCTAGTAACTCAACCATCAACAACCTTAGGGTCATTGGGTTGATTTCAATTAGGTTCTACACGCCGGACGAAGTAATAGCGGTCTCGAGTTCAAAGACAACGTTTCCCAACAAAGTGCGGTTTCACAGTTAATATATAGTTCAGAAGTACACGATGCTTACCTGAACACTCAAGAAGTGCAACCGAATTGAGAGTTTAGGCTTCATAATTAGTGTATCCACTCGTACGTATTGAAATCACGTGGTGCAGCGAAGAAATGGCGCTACCACTGGTATTGGTGTTTTTCATAATAATGCTCGAAGCAACCGAAAATCGACTCTAAGCCTCACTAGAATTTCGCAAAGTGAAGCCATCTACGTACGGAATTTGAGGAAGCCACAAGAACTTCGATTCAACCCTTATCGCTAGTTTGTTTACTTGAAGGATAAAACGAGTAATAAATGACAATTTGTGCCTTTGACGGACTACAGTGTAGGATGACCGGAATGTACCCGAATTTATTTCAATCGGAACTAGTGCAACTGAAGTTGAAAATACGGTAAGGCTTTAGGAATTGAAATCTGGTAGAAACGTGGTTTTATTTTCGGAAAGTAGAAACCTAGTTCGAAGACTAACAAACATATGATCGTATAAGACAACGACCCAATTTCCGCCCTTAGTGCAAAAATCAACTTGTAGCCGAGGTTTCCATTCGATGATGATTATTGCTGTGCCCCGGATACAAGGTGAGCGTCGGTTCTCTTCGTCACTTTAAACGCCTTCTAAGGAATCTACATTTGCTACTAATAGTCACTGAAAGAGTACATTTCGAACTGCTGATCATGTATATGAATATAAAAATACTCTAATGGCTGCCATAAGGGAGCGCTCAGGCTGGAGTATACTTCGACAAATCTTAGCACTACCGGCAGTCGGTACCAAGTCGGTGAGATGAACACGCCAAACACTATCAGCACTGCTGGTTTTGGAATAACTACATATTAGCAAACCTCAATTTACAGAACTGGTACTCACTCAAACCGATAATGAGGTAATAATAAGAATAACAACAATAAATAATGGAAACGCATCCGAAGTGAAAAATTACCTGGAAGTCTCTGAAAATAGCTTTCCGGAACCGTTTTTCTAGACCGTAGCTGTAGAAACGGAACAGGCATTCCATCCCATAACGAGCGCCCTCTTTTGCGTCCTCCAGCGCATGACGCCGGAAATCTTTGTACATTGTACGATTGAAGTGTTCACGAAGAAAAAACGACCAGAAACTGTACAATATGTTCATTTCCTGGAAGCAAAAAAATAACGTTTCGAGAGTGGTCAGCTGACATCTTCAATTAAGGCTCAATTAAATCATTGGATTCCAGGATATTTAAAGGTGCACAGGGTGGGGCAAATCCTGAAAAACCTTGCTCAGGGAAGTTTGGACATGAGAAGAGATCAAGTCAAAATGTGTTTCAGAGTAAGCTAAGTAAGTCGTATTTTGCACTAAGCACCCATAACGCCATTAACAAGCACTTTGCAAACGCGACCCTCTTCCAGGAATCCCAACATAATAAATCGAAATAAAAAAAATCGTTCAGCTGTAGCACCCTTTCGGTGCCTAAATGAAACGCGAAGGAGGCACAAGGGCTGGGATACTGCCTGATTACCCAAGCATAGACAGAAGTCGAGAGGCAGAGGTCGGGTTCCAACCAGTAAATTCGTGCTCTAACCACCTGGTCCATCTCACCCCCAGAATAACACAAAAGATTCCAAGATCACTGAACTTTTTTCAGTTAGCACGCGCAACGTTTAAAAAAATCAGAGCAGACCACCTACGACCATCGTAACGAAATTACTTGCTTCCCGAGGAGTTTGCTAAGAGAAGCATACGAGCGACCGAAACTACTGGATATACCATTCGATCGCAGAGACGACTAAGTTAGACTAAAATATTTACCAGCTGAACATCACAAAAACAACGATATCACCAACACCGCCGCTATATCACCCTGCGATGCTGCTGGGCTCTGATATGGCCTACTCAATGTATGAACACGGCAGTAGTTCGGAGCATGTCACACTTTTGTAATAAGAATTGAAGGTTATGAGTTTGGCATCTACTGAATGTTTTACCATAAAGGAGTATGGTGTGTGTAAAATGGTGGATAGTTAACTGTCATGTCGCAGGTGCGCTAAATTCACAGTACGCATCACAAAGTTTTCAAATTCTTGGGAAGGGTGAATTGGATGCAAGAACACCCCGAGCTGCCGTTGCCATCAGAATATTCGGGACATGATCATGAAGTAACACCGGAATTTCTGTACAAACGAAGCCCGTAGGCATATAGGGCCTCGGTTCTAGGATACACCTCCAACCTATGTACAGCCGAGTACAGACTGAAAAGTATTTGGATGATTTAGAGAAACAGGAGAGACACGAAAGCTGCATCATGCAACCATTTCATTGATTCCGGCGTCCGTTCGAGTCCAGTTCTCAGGCACTTGTATACTCGATTGTAACCCGCAGAACAGTCCTACAATTGTTGGTGGTCACCATGCGGCTTTTAAGTCAATTCGGTAACACTAAGTACTGACACGGAGTTCATGTTCTCCTCTAATGTGAAACCCCTTCACGGCTATGTCGTTGATTCGCCGTTGAACGCATGAGGCACCTGGTGAGATCCGGTTTTCAGTCAGAAACTTACCACGCAGGAAAAAGCAGGAACGGTAGAAAAAACTACCTAAACTGTACAGAATATGCCGATTGATCAACTAAGAGAACAATGTCTAACAGCGATTTCTTCATGAAGCTCAGTCCAACAGCAATACTTCAACTGAGACAATTAAAAGCAAAAGCCAAGGACAGTATCGAGTAGTCGGCGGCAAAAGTCCACAGTGCGGCACAAAGTGCAGGAAAAATGCCCGCCTAAGATTCAACAGCACACCGTTCACTAGAACATTTCGGTGCCACAGTTTAGAAAACACCGAGGGAAGTTGATGGACGTTTGGACCAAACCAACGATAGCACGCTGCCATCAGAGTACAATTAATCAGTGGTGTCGTGCATACCTAAGTTAAGCGGCCGAAGCGTAGACAATGTCGCGAACCTGTCGGAGTTGGCGCAAGTTAGTGAACTCCTTAGCGAGTAGCCACCTGGAGCGAGGTCCGAGCGACCACGTTTCTGCGTGAACGCCTGACCACACATCTATTTCGACTGTTTTTTATATATGCAATGTTCACCAAAAATACACGACCAGTATGTACATGAACGTGGGCTGCACATTCATTGCATTAAGGTGTCAGCGATAGGCAGTAAGGCAAGCAAATTCTTGCATTCCGTTGGACAGCAGCAGTTTGCATGTCACAATGAGGGGATCAATTTTACTGGAAAAGGAAAACCCATGGTTAATAGAAGTTAAAAACTCGAAAATTGAATGACCAACAGTCAAACAAAATAATTCACAAATTCGCTTCTGCGCCTAGGCTTCCATTCATAAAGGGGTAAGGTATAATGACAACACAGTCTACGGTATACAGAAATATGCGATGCTCACTTGGGAGAGTCCCTTTCCTTTAGCTTCTCTGTCCCTCAGGCACTTGGCGCGGAACTGATTATAAGCATGAAAGGTAAAGCCCTTTTCCTGAACAAGGGTTTGATGCTGATGGGTAATGGATTGCTCATTGAGTATGGTGTCACTGAAATGAGAAAATAAAGAACACAGGCAATGCTACATAAAAGGAAATGAAATGAAGTAGTACAGAGCATAAACACCATGGTCCATATGTGGCTTAGGAATCAGAAAATGATAACTTGTGAGATGCATACGCCGATGACTTGTGCGATGCCCGGGCTAAGGAAAGACGAGTAGAGCAGACCACACGCAAGCAAAGCGGTACATACCTAATTGATTTTGACCTGTCCATTTCAACTGACCAAGAATGAATGCTAATGAAAGTTTCCAGTGACTTCCAGCAGTCCAGCTGAAGTTTTCGACGAATGTTGCTCACCATGGTTTACACCCACCACTTTGCTATCGTAGATGAAGTACGCACCATATTTAAACTGTACAGTTCGTCCGTAGGTCTCCATACACGTCAACTAGCAACATCGCCAACAGGCTGGACCTTATTATGGTAGAATGTTTGCGTACCTCAGCAACTCATTGAGTCGTATTCCTGGATCCCCACTCGGTATTCACTTTCTCCTATTAGGTTGGCCTTATAAACAGTCTCCTGGCCTTCCAGGTTGAGAACTGGGGCAAGTGTGGCAACCGTGGTAGCCTTATGCCAACCTAAGTTGTGGTCAGATTTCTGAGACCAAATATTTTGTTTGAGGACTTAAACGTTCTCCTGTTCAGGTCGGAGTGTACTGTGGTATCCCCCTCTACGGCAGCGAAGCATCGGTGTTGAACACCGATGTCGTGTTGTCGATGATAATGATGAGTATCCCCCTCGACGCACAAGCTATGAATTGCACAAAATAGTGTGGCTTCATATCACATCGACCAGATCACCCTATTCACAGTATGCAACAGATCGGATAAGCGCAAATATGCGACTGCGAACGTTCTCCACCTTTCCACACCATTCTTTCTTGACCCTCCTCTTACGCAGTGTCAGCGTCTCTGTCAAATACTCCGGAGAGTGAAAAATTGCGAATCGCCACACACCTGCCCCTGCTTTCCTTATTCAGACTGTGTGTTTGTATTTCCGCCTTTAGTGTTCGAACCCTTACGCAAGCAGGCCAACAAGTTGTTCTTGCGAACATTCACCACTCTTTATCTACAGATCATCGTTGAATTTATGAAACCCGAATATAATAACTGAGCGTAGCTAGCTGCATGAGGGTACTCAACTATCACGTCTCTGTTAAAAGCATGCTACGCGTGGTCGAAACATAGAAACGTAAGCCTTGCATTTGTCAAAGCGAGGTTACTGGGTTCAATAGCAATACGACGCTGAATCCTGGAACATGAGACAGAAATTTGAAAGCGGCTAGACAGTTGTCGAGTGAAATGGTGCACTGATCACACACTCATATAATGTCGAATGCGTGAACAGCACCAAACTAGGTAACTCGACTTCAGGGCAGCTGTGGATTCCCTAGATAGGTCAGTCCCCCCAGAAATATTTGGTCAAGAGAGATGCCTACTAATGCAAAATAAGGGTGGATAGAGAACTGAGTACTGTGGGATCACCGTGACTTTCTGGTTGAGCTCCGCTCGATGCTCTTTGCACGTAACCGGTAACACTGGAGTGCATGATGTAACTTTTCGTACTATGTAACCAGTACACTGGTAGTTGTATGGTGGGCTATGTTCACTGAAATTCATGAAAGACTGAAACAACCCCCCAGCAGTTTACTCCGATGCGATATTCGGACACGTTTACGTTGTTGCCGTTCCAAAGTATAGTCGCCGTGTTCTCCAACACTCTTCATAGGGATTAAATCCTCACCCTTCCCCCTTCTCTCTACTCGGTAGTCGGCATTTGTTCTCATGGCTGTGCGGCAGTTGAACATCAACATCGAAGTCTTTTGACGTCCTCGGTGCGAAGCGGTCAGGTTTCTTATCCGTATAGTAGTATGGAGCGCACCGAAGCATTGTAAGCTCGACCCCTGACAAAGAAGCTCATGTGGCGCCAACGCCCCAGATGAAGCAGGTTCACAGAAGCTGCCATGGCCTTCCCAATCCACGATCAACCGCTGGACGATCCGAGTGTGCGGTTTTTAGGGCCGACCTTTCCTGACCTGTCCTTCTTCGGGGGACGGTAGCATCGCTGCTTCTATATATATATGGACATGCTGGTCGCCTGGAAGAAACACCTTACTGCCTTCACACTCCTGTCGCAAAGGACAGTACGACTTTGCCCCCAGACGGCCTCGTAGCACGATTACTCGTTGAACGGGGTATCGCTGCTCTTGGTCTGACTCCTCCTCTTTGGCCTTCCTGGGATTGTTGTACCTAGTGGAACGACGTTCCAGCCAACGTAGCCCGCGGGATTACTGCAACACTCAAGCCCGACCACCACGATAAGGTGGCAGCTATAGGTCGGGGTGAAGTCCTCAGTCAGCGCTTTTTTTGGGCTGTTTGAGTGCATTTGCGAAAAAGGACTTCGCGTGAGTGTGGTAATCAGAGGGAATCAGCTTGACTTCAGTCGTAAGAAGACTAACATCACTTATCCTTCGTCGCCCTATGGTGGCTTGTCGAACAACGACTCGAGAACAGCCAGCGAGATCCCGACCTGATAGGGGTTGCGCTGACCCACCATTTTTTGTACTTTTGGATTTCCAAGGTACATTCCTCTCCCTTCACTGGTCTGTTCTAGACATGCTTGCCAGTCAAGAAGTGCCTCTTATGTTTGTGAACAGAGGTTCTTTGTATTATCAGACTTCCGGGCGTGAGATTATTTGAAGAGCTCTCTAAAATCGTCTGTACACAAGTTGGTGCCCTTCAGGGGTTACCGATCTCTCCATCCCTACTTAATTTCGCGACCGACGGGATGATGAGGCGAACGCAGTTGGTCTTCCAACCCGATGGTATTCGTCTAACTGCTAACGAAAACCTTTTCGACCTGGAGTGTGCCGACGAAATCGTTCTCGTCTCCGAGTAGAAGGCGCGTGTTTATGAATTTCCTCTGGCATGCGCTTTGTATCCTCAAAGTGTAAGGTCATGTTTTGGCCGTGCATTCGCTGAACATGCCAATTGCAATCCAGAGGTATTCACTCGAGGCGTCGGAGTGCTATCGCTCCTAGGCTATCAACACACTTGAACCCGTGAGGCAGAATCGTCAAAACCAACGCGTCAAGCGTAAACTGACCACACCGTTATGTTGCGCCACACTTAAACACTAACATAAACAATGTTGTTATCCGTTAAGATCTAAAAGCGGCATTCGATAAAGTCAATCGCGCTGAGTTGTGATGTTCCTTCAGAGGCATGCTGAACCTCTTGACCACACTTCCAATCCTCATACTCCAACAGTGGTGGACGTACTCTTCTGAGTCCGTTACCAAAGGTGGTGCATTTCAGAGTAACCCAACATCATCTATGTTTTCCAACTTTTAATCGAAGAAACTTTCTTCCACTTGTGGTGCGGGGAAGGACCTGAACGACTAGGAGTATGCGGACGACATCGGTTCAGATTCCATGTATATATACCAAGTATACAAAAAAATTTAAACCGTGTTACGGCCCGATTTGGTATGTTTTCTACCTCGGAATCACTATTACAAGATTGGAGAGGTGCGACACCAAAAATGGTCACAGGGGACAATAGACAGATCTACCCATCTGGGTTGTTGAATCACGTCGGATGGCAGATTTGCTGACGAAGTGAGTTTCAAAAAATAGGTATTTTGGGTCATGTGAAATTAGCCTGTCGGAAGACTGGAACTACCAGGCGGCAGTACGTCTGTTTACTGTTGATGACCTGTCTTTGACCATCGGTGCATTTGAATCAGAGTATGGTTTTCAATACCAATATAGATGCTTTTCCAGTTGATTGGTTGGTCAGCTGTCATCACGTTGGCTGGGCCATACGCTCCAACTGTTTAGCTGTTGTTTTGCAGCTAAAAGCTGTGCAACGAAACACTATGGTTTCAGCTGCTACACCGGGGGAAAGCAGCGACGAGAGCCACACGTTGCAGGCAGTGGTCAAATAAGTCCATTCAACTTAAATGGTTGTGTTCGTCCGATATGTCAGGGAGTGACAGCTACGTGGTGAGGGTGAAATTATAATGCGAGACAAAAAAGCAGACACCCTGTGGGTGCCTAGATTCAATGCCACCAGGAGCACGAGCTTACGATCAGAAAAGAACAGTCGAGATGCCTTCTAATAAGTAAGCCCGCGCGCCTTAACCGTCGAGCGACCTCGAGCTGCATAACACTGCCATATCTAATGGGACTACTAAGCATTGGTTTGTCTCGTCAAGGGGTAACGGCCGTAAGCAATGTGACTGAGTTGAATAGTTAGGGCTTTCATGCTTCGCCGCCAAATCACAGACTGACCGCCTCCGGGTTTTTTCGATCCGATAAAAGACTGTAAGGAGCAAACGGTCCTCTGGCATAGGAACTAAAAGGCCTAACCCGCGTAACTTGTGGAGCGTGACCAGGTGATCTGTTGACGAAGAATGATTTTTTCCCCAAAATTTATCTGATGTCCCAAACAGACCCTCGCAACGCATCGGAGGCACCGATAGTCAAACACAGTTCTGGGAAACCTCTCGTATGCAGCGGCCACAGCTCTAATGAGTAATGTAGGACAGGTGGAACTGCGGGATTCTACGCTAACTTTGACAGCAAAATGATGTCACGCCGACGCCTATCATTCGAGACGAAGTTCTATGGGTGGACTGGGAATGTAGTCTTTTCGGAGATAGCGATATTTCAACTCTCCCTGTTCAGACCAGCTAATCTTATTAACTGGAACAGGGTACGATCGTTTGCACTTTTTTGTGAACCACCAGCGTCATGTCAACCCTTGAGCTCCGCATTATTCGATGCATGAGGGATCCGCGCACGTCCACAGTCGTATGCTATCGGTATAGTTTTTCAGTCTCAATCAAAGCTGCTGACTTTGACGAGATTCAGGATTCATTGGGGCGTATCAGCGACCCTGAGCAAAGTTTCAAAAGCTACGAACATAGTCTCTTTAACCCTACTCCAGTTGTCAAACAAATCTCCATTACAACCGTTATAACCGCTAAGTTCTGGAGGCTTCTCAGTCTACTCAACTCGGTATTGTTGAGCTACAGAGATACTTTGCAGGTGTTCAGATGAACGCCTTTGTAGCTACCAGCGTAATCCCGAGGGAGACCGACTGGATGTGCATGCCAACACATAGCAGGGATTGGAATCGTGGCGTACCCCCAAGATGAACGAAACTTATATCAGAGCTTTCCACAGGTAGCTGACTGCCACATGTTTCAACTGAGTCCACAGCTGGTTTGCAGCTGATGGTCTCCAAGTCACACGGTGTGAACGGTTGCTAGAAAGAAATGATGCATGACACATGACGCGAATGCGCACCACAGGTGCTTTCTGAATAGCACATAACTTTGATCGTATTGGATAATTCGCGGTAGTCCCGATCAACCAATGGGCGATATGTGTACGGTTATGTTTTGTCGGGTGGCTCCTGTTTACCTTCCTGACATGAGTGAACCTTAATGAATTGAGTTCCGACTAATATGCTTCGTAGAATCAATGTAGCACTTGAGCTCGACTATTACGAGGTCGGATGTTTCTGGGGTGCCAGATGGAATGTAGTCCCGCATGTGTCTTTAGTCCTATGACGGGAAGGGCAACTATAATATAGGTGTTGTGTCAGGGTTACCCAAAGAGCAACATTAGGTGGGGTCTACGATAGAACTTGGGTACTTCATGTGCTCTAGCTCGCTTAATCGACTGGTGGGGAGATCTCCAGAGGTCGTGCCAAATAACAATTTCCTCAGATCAAGCAGACATTCAACCATTGAACAACTGAAAACTCCATTTAGTCGGATGTCCCTACCTTTGCTAGAAGGGCACTAGAATTAGGCTGTTCTGCATACTATACAGCACTTTGTCAGTGTGCTGTCACATCCTGACCGGACGACCTACGTGAGGTTGGCCGCTGTGTTTGTGTTGGAAGAGTTTCGAATAAGATGTGGTACCATTCAGGATTCGCGGGTGCAGGCATGTTCCCGCTGAGCGTTTTCCCCAAAACATGGGGTCTTCTTTCCAATTTTTACTAGGGCGTTTCTTTCTCACAGTGCTTACTGCTGCTGGTGACGATGTAGAGTAATAGCTGATGCAGCCTGAGCAGTAGCTGTGCTCGATCGTTATGCACCGGAAGCAACGGGTTCCATTTTGCTCCATTTGTCTTCAATCAATCGCCTCAATAGTGGCACATCACTTCCATGGAAGAAATAATGCCGGAGCAGTAGACGTCGGCGAGTTGGATAGCTAACTACGGTGATGAAACGGCGTAATAACATCAATCGCAAAACGCAGACAGGGAACGCCAAGTGAAATAATAAAAAAAAAACAGATCCACCAGCACTCACCTTGCTCCGGGGTTAAGTTCCATTCGGGATGTAGATGGATTCAACAGGAATCCGACCTGAGATTGTATTGTTGTGAAAGCCTCACCGCCGGATTGGGAACGTTTCCGAAACTGAAGGAAATTATTGGAAAATAAACAAGTAAACCATAAAAATATGCGGTCAAGCAATTTTGCATGAATGCAAATGACCTGGTCCATCTAGAAAATCGCTCACTACCGAGTAGCGGCAGCAACAAACAACACCGTGCGATCTCAGCCTTTTTCAAAGCATGCTGTTTTTGAAAAGGGCGACAGAGTTGTCTAGTTGTAGTAAGACTAAACCGGGGTACCCGAATGTAAAAAAATAACAGGGTATCGACCGCAAGCGCGCTACTTAAATTAACAGCCATGGGTCATAGAGGCGAGACAGATGCGGAAGTGGTCACATATAGTCGGTTGTTCATGCTATCAAATTGTGTCTACGTCTTTGGGACGGGTCCACTGAGGTGCCGACTTGGTCAATGAAAAAGCGGGTTAACATAACCGAAATTTGAGTTATGAAAGACGCTGAAGTAAGCCACTGATCGACGAGGGTTAGTGTACGTACCAAAATGAAAACGACTGACCGGAGATTATACATTTGAATGAAGTCCTAGCATAATGTACATAAAATTGGCAATTTGAAGCTGCGGTTGAAGGCCTTTATCCGAACAAGGCTACATAACCATGTTCGCCTAAGAGTAATAATAATGATAATAATAATAGTAATAATGCTCCAGCCGTAGCATTCTTGCGGTGCCTAGCTGCTGTGATATCCAAAGGAAGCATGAGGGCCGAGGTACTGCCACAAGTTTGAAGTGTGGTGACCAGGGAGATAATGCATTTTCGTTAATGCGGATCCAACAAGGAAGCATCGTCAACATCACCGTGTGCCATAGCAATCGCGATATACGAATAGAGTAGCTGCAAAGTCATTTTTCAAACTGCATGCTAACGGGAGAAGCACAAGAAAAAGTGTGGAAAAAATACATCTGTCGGTGCATCGCACAATGAACATTTTGTTACAATCTCAGTGCTAACGGATATTTCAATATTTCATATCGAGAGAGAATGTGGCATCAAACACCTGGAGTAGTATACTAAGAGAATACCGCCAACAAATTGGTTGAGTGCGATTTACGGTCATACCATCATCAAAGACAGCAACATTAGTGTTGGCACTGATGCTTCACTACCGTAACAGAATCATAGGGTTATCTGAAATATCAGACAATCGGAGTGCCTGCAAAAATTATTTAAGAAGGGACACCAAGTATGACCATTTCTCATGAAGTCTGGTTCTGAGAAGTTTCACCTTAACCGCTTACGATAAACCAAGCAGTCTACCAGTGGTTGTTCGCACCTGTGAACACTGCGATGATTTCTTCACGAGCTGGCAGTTATAAAAGTGCACTCAAGCGGACAAACGATATACATTGAGCTTTTCACTGTTCGGATTGAAATAAATACAGTTCACGAAAAAGCTAGAAATCAACCCTAGCTGGCCTAAGTGAAGGCACTACTATAAAGGTTTATCGTTGGCTGAACAAAGCAAAAGGAACTCACGGCTCGTTGAGGCTGGCGGTTTTCACAGTTTGCAGATACCGGGAAAAACCCTGCTATACGTCCCTTGAGATCAGTTCTGCGGTTTTCCTGGCGCTGAATTTCGGGCTTCAGGGAAGCCATTCCGTTTGGAGTTGGGAGGGTGGATTGTGGTGACATAACATTCAGGAGTGGCGCATTTGTCGGGATCGGAGCGAACTGTGGTACATAATATACAGATGGAGTGTGGCTGATAAACGGCGCTCGATTTACAGGTGCGAGAAAAAAGCTCCCCGGTGAGGGCAACGTGGAAGAGGCCATGAAAGCGTATGGCGATTGTCCCACGAAGGAATTCTGAGGATAGGGTATGCACTGATCTGAAAAGTAATGCATGAAGAAACGAATGCGATTATGACAAACGTGTGGCTGGATTCCGAAAAGCTCAGCAACATGAAACCTTTCCTCCAGTCACCAGCTCTCATAATGGAGTATAAGAAGACGAGATCACACATCTACCGACTATTATGAGCGGTGAGTCCGATTTGACATTCTGTCTAACTAGCTGCTGACTTGTTCACATACATAGTTAACTCTGTAGACTTGCGATGTTTTATCCCCAGAGAACCTGGAAGTTACAGTCGTGGGCTTGAAAGTTGTCTGGGTGAATCTAAACGACCGATGGCTACTTACAGAAAAATTCTGACCATTCACCAGTAGTCATATGTTTGCCACCAACTGAATGTATGAAGAAGTGCACCTGATAAGGAAGCTGAATACACGTGAGGCCAAGTAATTAGACCAATAAAATTTATAGCCAAAAGCAAAACAAACACAGCTAGGTTATGTAGAACACTCACTGGCATAGATCAGTTGTGCATGGTTTGCGGCTGAAGGATGGGGTGGCGCACTGAGCGGGGCCGGTGGAAATGATACAAAGGAAGCTGGGCAAAAAAGGGTAGGCGAATGATATTTGGAATCTGGAGGAGTAGTGTTTCCGGAAGTTGGGATAGTTGAGCTAGCGTAACTGACAACTGCAACACCTGAGGAGGTTACAACAGGTTTCTCTGATGGACCAGAATATCGTTCCTGAAAAAAGCAAAATCCGTAATCAGCGTTAGTATCGCGGTACCGTTTCAGGCAGAATGGAAAACTTGCATCGATAAGTGAGACCGCCCAAAAATGCATCCTTTTTAGTCGTAAAGGAAACATTCATAGTGAAAATCTGACTCACCTCTTGGGCATCCGTGGTTTCCAATCGGGATTCTGTGACGGCTTTGCATAAATCCTCGACCAATGCCTGAAGTGACTCACTCTCCAAGGGAGGAGGACGTGTTGCCACGCTGATAATGAGGTCAACAGTAAACCGAGAACATGAAACATCAAGATTTGTTCAAAGTAGAATATAGTGTGATTAGATTATTACCCTCGTTTTCTCGCCGATCTTTTAACCCTCAAAAACCGTTCCTTCGAAACAGATGGACCTTCCCCCCCCCACGTAAGCAAATACCGGTCAACTCGAAACAGAGGACCTTCCCCCCCCCACGTAAGCAAATACCGGTCAACCTTGCGGTACAGTCTTCTTCAGTGCAGTCTACTGACAGGTGTTTCACGCGCATTAACCTGTTATTCCAGAGCAGATATGAGTGTGACGGTGGAAATCGGAGCACTGTTCAACAGAATGCATTGTACAACGCCACACCATCGTTCGAGTGACATCTCATTTTCGCAGTACACCAACACCGACGGACAGCTTAAACCGGCTTACCTGACGTACATTAGCATGTCTTCAGACGATGGAAACGGGCATAACAATGAAATCACACTCCCTGCACCCTCAAACAGACACCAACATTAGTTGGAGTTGTTTTACTAGAAACGGCCTGTTGCACAGAGTTGCAAGGGATATGGTTAGCTAAGATAAGATGGATATGGAGTATGGTGATGTGTGACGGAAGTAATGGGGTGAGGTTAGTAAACGGACGAGGCAGCGGGCTGTAATACAGTCAAGTTACACGTACTTCGGCTGTAGATCGAAGCCGTACATTGAACATTCATGGTGACATGGAAAACGGAGTAGCATAAACACCTCAATGAGCCGCGGTCGAACGGCCATTCAATCCCACTACCCGCCCGTACAGTTCGAAAAATTTACGCCAATCATGGTCATTTATTGCGGTCACTTGTACTGCGGACACCGACTTTATACGTTGCACTGTACTTGGACCCTATAGCAATGAGGGAGTAGCGTTTTACATTCGGTGAAGAATTCGAGCGCATGACTTTGAGCATACTGGCCAACTTACTGGCGAAACATGTTTATCCAGGCATAAGCAAGTGACCATTTTGCGACACATAGCGTTCAGTGCACATAAGCAGAGTGCAGTTATTCAACAGCTTAGAATAAGCACTCAGGTTAACTCAGAAAACAGTTAGAACGATTGAAGATTTGGATCAACTTCGTAAAAACAGCTAGATGCGGGTCTCAAACATCACGATGAAAAATCATATCGGAGCCTAATGAAACGACGAACCGTGTGGAGAAGTTACTGTGGCTAAGATGAGATCATCTACCAATATTACTTTGATGCCAGGTCTTTACAGCTTCATCTGAACTGACCAAAAAATATGTCCACCACATGTCTCCGCTGCCAAATATATCATTAGTGGAATCCGACTTATTATCCAGTCATCAGTTTTGATCTTTGCAATCAGGCAAGAGTCACAGCTTGGTAAAAAAGTGGCTGATTCTGTTAAAAGCCCACCAGAGACGCGAAAAACATGGAACATGTTATTTGGCCAATCGCGTACGTCCCATATGATCAGTGCAATAGATCGGTTATTTGCAGAAATACCTGGAGCTAGAGGATACTGTCCTGGCGTTGTACTGCATGGATCGGGATTTACCTATGTGACCTCAAAGGAAGATCAAATTTTTGACAACAACCAGAAGCCAGTGGCACCGCGTCATCGTCTTGTTTTCTTTACCACAAACCCTTAATTGGCAACCATTCGATATGCTAAAAATGGCCAGGTATCTGGAGCACACAAGTGTCACAAAACTAGGCTAACGCAGTCTAGCTCACTGGTGTATACCACTGAAATTGTCGAATTCCGCTGGTCACATGGCTCATTCTCCGAACTGTGAACTATCGTATTCTACTAGTTCTGTTGGTTCGTGCCCGGTGGTCAATGTATACCGCCTACGCAGATGTGGTACCATTATTCGCACAACTCAAATATTGTCACGAAGTGAAAGTTCAAAATCCTTTCAATATGACTGGGATAAGTCCTAGCTTCTACGCAGAATCTGTTACTTCAGGCAGTCTCTACTCAAGTAGGAGCACGCTTGCATGTTGTCAGCAGCCCATCTACAAAGTGGCTTGATTGAAACAGAACGGGATACAAGTCAAGCAGAGGGTTAGGCGTCAGATGACTGATGAGTGGTGCAAGGTTATACTGAGTTCGGTTAATACGGGCTGGGCAGAGGACGGATTGAGACTGCAGAGGCAGTCTAGGTGGGTATTCTCAGTCCGAAGATGATTGGTATTCAGAAGAGTGTAGATTCCAAAGCACACGTCCGGTATGTCTTAAACAACCACAGTAATCTTTCCTTCAAACCAGTAGGTCGGGATTTATACCGAAGGCCGAACGGCTCTTGCAAACTGTTCTCAAATTCAAAGGTGATTTCTGTTGTAGCAGTCACACGATTACCTTGGCATAAAGAGTAACGATACCGTCACTTCAAAGATGCGACTTTTACTAGAGTTTAGCCACAACGAAGGGAGAGACTCACTCTAACGACTTTGTCAAGGACGGAGTGGTTGAAGTCTCGAACTGATCGCAAGTAGCCACCGTTGATGTGCTAGTCCAACCAGTACCTTCATGGGAGGGTGCAATTACCAGTAAACTTGAAAGCATAGCATCGTCGATATCTTCCTCTGAAGTTGTCGATGAAGTTCGAGTTCGATGCTGCAATTCGTGAGGGGAGAGAGGAGACAATATTAGAGATGTAAATCTGGAGTGTCAAGTGCAAGAAAGCGCTAAAAGCAAACATTCAGGCAACTCACATAATCATCTGAAAGGAAGCCATCGCGCTCAACTGACTTCACAACTCCGGAACGCGGCTCTTCTGAGAAGCTAAAATTCAGTTCCTCTTGACCGCCCGTATCCGCTGGGGTCAACGCGACCGTCGAATCTAAAATAGTTAAAGGGGTTCGACGGTGACGTGTATAGACCAAGTAATGGGTGAAAACTGGTATCAGAAACTGTGGAAATGATTTGGTGATGTCAATCCTCATCATCCTCGGCGCAACACTAGGGATGCCACGAACCTTCGGCGAAAAGCGAAGTCAAGATTTTAAAGTTTTGTGGTGGTTACGGAATAAGCAGATCATTATTGCGAAAGATAACTACACGAGTACTGACCTCAAGCTATTTTTCCATTCAGTGTAATGAGCCACTTCATACGCTCACCGTCCATACAATCGCAAGCCTATTTATTCGTTACTCCTTGCATCTCTAATAATTATACCCTAATATGAGGAAAAGCAAGATGAATTTTGGCGGGTCTTTATCGGCACATGATTTATAGAAATAATGCGGAACATACTTGCGGATGCATACTTATGCGCCCTCCAAGAGAGTTTAGTCTGACCTTAAAATGTGTTCTTCTTTAGGACTACTACGAAGAAACCAAGCCAGAAAGCAGACATCCAATAAGCGGATAAGGCCTGGTGTACAAATTCGACCACCACCACCAAGTTGATTCTCTAGCATCTAGCTCCTGTAAAAGTTCGACCACAGCAGCCTCGGTGTAAATGTTACTCATTTACCTTCAACATTAGGAGGCTCTAAAGGAAACAGTTACTGGTGCACTTGGGATTCATTCATATAGGACATCAACCGAGTTGTGTGCGTGAAGTGACCTGTGCAGCGACTTATCAGCCAATATACAAGGGTGCTACGGTTGATGCAGAGGAGAGCAATCAGTGTGACGCCACCTGTGCAACTACGTCTCTGGTGTGCGGCTGACCACAACCAACACTCACGTCTTCGATGAACAAGACGTTTCTAGCCGAGGACGCTGTTGATAGTGAACGCGACGGTGATGACGGCTATTAGTCCTGAAAGTGGATGCACAGCTTTTGAAAACAAGCTTCACGGAATCAACTGGATTAACTGACGTATTCTCCGAGTACTGTAAAGTAATGAATGAACTAAGTACTATACAAAGCATTTGAAGCAGTCATACATACTCTTCGTCACCTGTGGGGAATCACGATATAGTTGCCCATCGCATCCTTCGTGATGCGTTGATTGCCAGGGTTTACGACTTCGATCAACCGAATTATTGACGGTCCGCCAGTGAACACATTTGACAGTGCGCTTGGATGCGACAGTAGCTATGGAGTAGTGGAAGTGCTTGGGGGCATACGTGCCCAAACACTTACCTAGGAACTAATGCATCATAAACATCACAATATCCGCGGCATTGCTGTGGACAGCAGTGTGCTTCACGAAGAAAAACATATAACTGAGGTATTTACAAGTCGCCTTTGAAATGCGTCATTCAGTGAATCTAATTTATGGAAAATATACTCATAAGTTCGACAGATAGATCCAGGAAACCTTGTATTCATCACCATGCCACGCTCGCTTGCGAATACGTCTCATGAACAAAAGATCGAAGTGCGCCAGGTGAATGCAGATTGGCAATCAAGATTCACGAACGTTAAGTATAGGAATATGTGGGCTGTTACTTTCTAATCACGTAAAACAACAAACTATTCCGTAAACTGCAATGGACGGAACAAGGGATACTGATACATTCACCAAAGTAAAACAGAATACTGCTCTACCAGGACATCTATATCCGTAGGAGGAAGGGACAAATGCCAAAATTGGCAATGCAGTATCAGATGTCGAGTAGGACAAAAAAATAGACCGCGTCAGTTTAACTTACTTGTGCCAGTGGAATCTGGGGCAGCATGAGAAGGGACGAATTCAGGTGCATTCGGATTCAATCCAGTGGACTTATCTGACTTGTCTCGAACGGCAGATGGTAACACCCACATGGAAGGCCTCACTCGACAGCGAACTCGGGCATTCTCAACATCCACTTCAAGCCAGGGACTCACACGAATGGCCTACGAAAAGGAAAATTACCACAGTGAGCGACTTTTTTGATACAGCGACGTGTCGTTGAACGACATGTGGTTGCTCAAGCTATGTGGTTCAATGTTAACTGTGAGACTGCGCCGGATGAAAAATAAAAGTAGTGTAGCACAGTGACCTCAAATAGCCCAAATATAGTCGACTGTCATCTTTAATGTTACCCACAGCCAGAAAATCGCATTGTATTGTATCGTACATATGCGCCAGTATGTTCATACTAATGATGATGAGAGCACTTGTTACCGCTTTGGGGAATGTTAGTCCCGGCGAGTGCATCAACCTCCAAGGGCCTGGTTACTTGCTATTCACCTTTCTTACCTAAAGGACTGTTCTTAAGACGATCTTCGGAACCAAATGAACAGCGAGTGGCTAGTGGTAGTGTGATAAGCATGCATCAGTGAAGTGGGTGAGGACAAGTTGACAGGCTAACCGACAATAACTAAACAATCGATGGGATGTACTGAGAACTCAGAGGATAGGGACTCTGTTGAAAATGTCGCATCTGGATGGGAAATCCAATTTACTGATGACTCTTGCCTTGTAAGGAAATCGCGCCTGCGATTCCCAGTGGCTACATATGTGTGGTGGCAACGATCGCTTGGTACGTCAGTTTTTATTGATGACCAAGACCGAGTGAAAGAAATGTAAAATTCTACTGCATATATTTAAGGTCGTGCTAAGACAGATAAAGACAATACCATGTGCCTGGCAATCAAAAACTCACCCATCACGAGAGTTGTTTTTACCTAACACTATTTACCGTACCTCAACATTGTTAATCTGACGTTCCCACCAGACCCGACCAATACTTCGGAGACACCGGTGGTCAAACAGTCGCAGTTCTGACCGCCGGTGTCTTCGAGGCATTGACCGGGTCTGGTTGGAACACCTGGGTAGCTATGCTCACGTACGCCAGGTGATGCTGCCAGTATCTAAACTGTCTGGAGGCATCGCTAGACGCAAAGCTACCGCACATATTTGTGGTGGACAAGCAGAGCCATAGTGGTGATGGCAATGAGGAGGATGAGGGTAATGACGATGTTGCAACCGACTATGCATTGGAGTAAAATAAAGAGCTTCGGCAGATTACAGGCAACCGCACCCGAATGTATGAAGACTAGAGACAAACACAAGCCAGAAAGGTGGCTACATTACTTATATCAACCCCCCACTTAACTTCATTTTTGTTGATAGGGCCAGTATATACTCTCATGAGGTTAATACGGCCGGATAACCAAGAAATTCGATGTTTAATGCTTTATTGAAATTTCGTCTTACTTCCTCTCATTGGTACCGTGAATGACTGCGTTTACTAGTGTTTAGCAATTGCGAGGAAAACAATCACAAGTGTGAATCAGCCGATGACCGGAGAAGGTAGCTACTCAGTTGGTATGCACACGCGGACTTGCCACAGTGATCAATAAGTAATTGTGAACAAAAGATCCTGACCTGGACTCAGTGGTGTACAGAAGATTGACTAGCAGCAAGCACGCTGTCCCCGAAGCGAAAAGATCACGTGATAGAAGTTAGCGCCATTATCTGTCAGAGGCACACAAAAGTACCGTCCGACAAAATGTCAGTACAGCAGAAAAACTAACTGCCGATAATTCGCGTGATAGAATGAGAAGCGATTTGAAATCGGAATGTATCATGCAGCGGGTCCCACACTACAGATAAACTACTAGGATTGATGACTAATTAGCAAAATGATGCAAAAGTGCTACTTTCAATACGAGTGAACTGAAACTTCAATGTACTGCACACGCTTGCACACCAACAAACACCACGTGGGTGGTGTTACCATGATGCAGATAGAGTCCACCCAGAAGGTAACTAAGAAACGCACCGGGAGATTGTTGTGAGGACCTGAAGTGAGACAATTCTAGAGCCTATTTGTTCTGCACTAACCCGTGGATATGGACTGCCCCAGGACTGAATACGCTTCTAGTAATAATTCTGGTGGTCTACAGACTTAATCGCTATCAGGACAGTTTCTCTAACCTTTCCCATGCCAGCACAACTAGTTTATTTATTACAGTTCTATACACCTTTCTTTTATAATGTGAAGTACGCCGGATAAGTCACAGCTCAACTGGTCTCATCACCGAGCACCTGGCCTTGCCTCAAAGGTTCGTTTCTGGTGTGTTGGGACCCATGAATAAGGGTTTCGGAAGCCGTCACCCGGTTCCTTGGACTGTCTATGTCTACAAGCAACGAACACTACAGAAGCGCTACTGCTGTGATTACGCAGAAACTGGGACTCGAAACAACCAAAATCAAAATCTGACGCAGAAAGTCTGACAGAAGGTCACCGATACGGTCAAAAACACGAAACAAATTACTCCAGATCTACAACTAGTGGATTATCTGTAAGTTAGTAACCAAGCGGTGAAGCTAATGGACTTCCGAATCCTTTCAAGCAGGCGTAACACGTTTTGGACAGCCAGACCACTGGTTGTTGAAATACAACCAAAACTAGGGCGTAAGAACGGATACGGAACACGATAGTACATATATGTGATCCGACTGAATAACTGAAGTCTACTTAAACATGCAAACTGCTCCTTGAAAAGACCGGATATAAAGAAAAAGGCTTTAACTCATCCAAAAATGGCTAACTATGAAAACACCCCATCTATAAGTTGGTTGATTATACTAAAATCGTAAACTGTCCACTAAGGTATAGTGAAAGTAGTGTGATGTCTGATGCTGGGTTTCGGTAAAAAAAACACCAAAGTAGAACAACAGTACCTCAAGAATTTCACCCAGATCAGAAGAAAGCGACGCCACACGATTGAAGCTGGCTATTACACTAACTGATACCCAACCCTCTGAATCCATTTGGCGACGGAGGAACAGATCGCGGGCCAAATTATCCTCACTGAAGTAAAACTCCACCTGATGCAAGATTTGATGCCGCACAATGATGGTTGGATCATTGCTTGAGGTAGCTAGGAAACAGAGGTCTGTGGGTTGAGCGATTGCAGAAGCAGAGTAAATGGTTGGCACAGTGCCATTCACAGCACCAGCCGGCGCAGTTATTGGGACAAGTGGAGAGGCAAAGTTAGGAGTGAACACTGAACCAGAAGTGGAAAGTCCAGTGGGTTTAGGATTTATCAATGGCGTGGTTAGGGTAGGCGTGATGCTGCCAGAATTTGTGCTTCCGCTTGTGTCAGTTGCAGCGGGTAATCCAAAATCCGGGTTTCCGACATTTCCTGATACGACCGGAGCGGTAGCTGGAGCAGTTGGATAGACCATGAGAAAGGGATATCCCAGAGTAGACACTAAAATTGAAAATACAAAAGTGATTTCAATCAAGATCAGTTCAAAACCGCCTGTCGACCGTAAACTAAGTTCAAATACAACTGAAGAGTACAAAACCCTTGAGTAGTACCAATTTATCAACAGGTACATGATGACCCATGATAGGCGATGTGAATGCAGTCCACTGCACTAGGGACATCAAGACACCAGCGACACTAGGACATCTGCTCTAGTGTGTAGCAAGCTGCTGAGGACCCGGTAACCATTGCTGGAAGTGCGTTGGGAGCTACTGCCAGACCCAGAAATCTCGCAGGTGCGGCAACTAAGAGCTGAATTAATCCAACGGCACTTATTTACAAGCCGATCGCCTAGTACTGATGAGAGTACCATTAAAACTGAATGGAAAGTTTTTTTTGCAAATATCTATTATAACGAATAGTTATGACTCCACTGTGCAGTCAGCCATTGTTTCAAAAAGAGCATTCATTTCTTCGACCTAATTGGTTGTTCTTTAAGGTTGTGGCTAAAGAATACATTGTTTTCCAAAATCAGATAGGCTCTAAGTAGTACCAGTGGATAAAGAAAATGGGCTGGAGAGTCATACTTCAAATACCTTGGAGACCAGCGTCGAGTTTTTCATCATAATAGGGAGAAATGAAGCTTGTTCAAGTTAGCCGAGGTAACAACGAACTTCCCTTCTGACTTTGAAGAGACTCCATCGTAGATGGCTTATTAATAACCTACGTTTATGGATGGACAAGTGTACCGACAGAAACAGCCGCAACGAATGCATTGATCTTTCTGGCAAGTTCATCGTGATCGCATAAAAAACTCACGGAAAGTGGGTGAAACACCAGGACTTTGCGAAGCCGGCCCATACAATGGGATTGGAATAAAAGGATGGGGTATACCATTCAGCCGAGGATTGATTGGACGATTCTGAGATGAGGATCTACCAGAGAACAAAGCGGCGGGCTCTCCAGTAGACCAGCGTGGACCAGCGTGTGACTGCGAAACGCCTGTGGTGTTTTGAACGGCTGTACCACGAACTGAGTTAGGTGTAGACTGAGCAGAAGTGTTGCTCTGGCGACGCTGTGCGCAGAAAAGACAAGGGTTAATAAAGGATCACAGTAATTAGAAAACTTACAACCAGAGATATCAATCAGACAAGCTATGACATGATAATAAGCTTTTGAAGGTATTAGGAATGTTGTGGTGAGTCGTCTGCCGGGTTGAGGACCAGACTCATAGGCTGCTATTTGGATAATCTTATCGACAAGTTGTCTATCACGTCAATCGCCTTACTCGCAAGCATGAGGCTAGGACTCCAGCCCACCCAGTCTTGCAGTAGCACTTAACACTTTACAGGCAAGTCACATGCTACATCCCGAGGCAGGATTATTTAGATTATTTAATGTTGTTTGCATCATAATGGCATCAGATTCAGGAATAGACTTTCGGTTCCGCAAGCATCAGAGGTTCGTAGTAAGTCTTCCATAACTGTAGCAATAGAGGTGAGAGAACAGCTTTGTACCACACCACTTGATGTTGTCAGGTGAGAGCTCCCCGTAGACCTTACTGTTAGAAAGGTTCGTGGTTCGAACCTGACGTCTGCGTCTCGACTTACCCTGTCTGGGCTTGGGCAACCTGGCAGTATCCCAACCCTCGTGCTCCATTGGGGTGGCATGGAGGCTAGGCACCGAAAGGGTGTTTGAGGTGGATGATTTCTGAAGCATGCCAGGCGCATGCCGAAAAATGGTATGATAGTGGTCAATCTATTCAACAGGGTCTGTGCCTTGGCCTTCAAAGATGAGAGAAATTTGATCTGCATACTCCAGGTCGAGAAGGTTCTCACCATCAACCATTTGGACACAATGGTTTCAAAAACAACCAGCGTTCGCCTCATTATTTCATCAATGACGAATTTGAACAAGAATTGAGAGTGGACATCCGTGTCTGACACCACTTTTTGTAGTGAGGCTTTTGGAGCTCACAGTAACTCTCACACGCTCAGAGAATCTAGGGCCCGGATTATCTGCACAAACTTCTGGACATACCCTGTTGAGCATAGGTAGATAACTGCACTGGACGATCGAGAGAACTGAACGCATCCTTGAGGGCGTCTGTACATGTAACGTTGCTGTAACACCTAACGGTGTGAAGATGTGCTCAACACTTCCTTTCCTGTTCGTACTGTGAGACAGACACGACGAGCTGGAATCTCTCTCCACCGAGGTATGCCCTGTCGTAAGCAAGGACACACGCTGTAAGTACTGCGATCGAAATGACTAGTCTGTCGCACTCTTTGCTTCCGGCTGTGCATCATTGGTGATGCGAAAGCCGTTGAAGATGGATATCCCGAGGTGAGCGTTGTTTTGAGGCAGGGGTATCTTTATTCTTGAACCCCCGTTGACCGTTATCTCTGTGAGATTTGTTTGATGTTGGCATACGAACCTCGAGAGGTCTATCACCCCTCTTATTTGTATCTGCTTACGCCCAAAAGCACTATGGCCCTCGAACCGCCACACAATTCTGAGGATCTGAGTGTTCCGTTACAATGCATCGAAAGTTATGGTTGAGACAAGGACGTAAATAGACTTAGCGATTCTGGGACACGATTGGATGTTCGTCTTTGATACGTGAAACGCTCCAACACCTCGAGTGCATCCCCTGGATTCATCATCATCGACAGCATGACATCAGTGTTCAACACCGATGCTTCACTGTAAGTGGCATGTTCAGCGACTGCACGGCGAGGAGCATAACCTTACATTTTGAGGGTGCAAAGCGCATGCCAAAGGACATCCATAAACACACGCCTTCTACTCGGAGACGAGAACGATTTCGTCGGCACACTCCAGGTCGATAAGGTTTTCGTTAGCAGTTAGACGAATACCATCGGGTTGGAAGACCAACTGCGTTCGCCTCATCATCCCGTCGGTCGCGAAATTAAGTAGGGATGGAGAGATCGGTAACCCCTGAAGGGCACCAACTTGTGTACAGACGATTTTAGAGAGCTCTTCAAATAATCTCACGCCCGGAAGTCTGATAATACAAAGAACCTCTGTTCACAAACATAAGAGGCACTTCTTGACTGGCAAGCATGTCTAGAACAGACCAGTGAAGGGAGAGGAATGTACCTTGGAAATCTAAAAGTACCAAAAATGGTGGGTCGTATGTACGTTTGACTTCGGTTTAGCACCTGGCGGAGTGTCCAGATATGGTCAGCGCAACCCCCACCAGGACGGGATCTCGCTGGCTGTTCGCGAGTCGTTGTTCGACAAGCCACCATAGGGCGACGAAGGATAAGTGATGCTAGTCTTCTTGCGACTGGAGTCAAGCTGATTCTCTGTGGCTACCACACTCACGCGAAGTCCTTTTTTTTAAATAAGCACTATCACCGATTATCCCGTTGTCTGGAGCACTCCTCCTCGACCTAAAGCTGCCACCTTGACGCGGTGATAGGGCTTGAGTGGTGCAATGATCCCGCGGGCTACATTGGCTGGAACGTCGTTCCACAAGGTGCAACCATTCCAGGAAGTCCAAAGGGGAGCAGTCAGACTAAGAACAGCGAGACCCTGTACTACGAGTAATCGTGCTTCGAGGCGGTCTGGGGGTAAAGTCGTACTGTAAGTAAGGTGTTTCTTCCAGGCAGCCAGCATGCCCATATATATGGAAGCAGTGATTCTGCATTCCCTCAAAGAGGGACAGGTTAGAAAAGGTCGACCTTAAAAACCGCACAATCCGATCGCCCAACGGTTGGCCGTGACCGTCGGCGCATTATTCAATACGGTCGAAATATTTTTAAAACCAAATAGTCCGGTGCTGCTCAGAAGGCACCTGCTGTCCGTTCGGTTGCAGCACCCTTCGGGTGCGTAGGTGCCATGCCACACGAAGGAGGCACGAGGGTTGGGATACTACCAGATTGCCCAAGCCTAGACAGGGGAAGTCGAGAGGCTGAGGTCAGGTTCGAACTACGGACCTTGCAGTCAGTACATTCGCGCTCTAACCACTTGGTCCATCTCGCGGCATCGGGAATGAGACAGCAGTGCCTCATTTGCTGCTACCTCGGGGTAGGCCAACTCCCTGCAGGCTCCGAGCAGGGTGCCGAAAAAAAACCACTGTGTTGCATCGCTGGTCAGGCTTTCGAGTCAGACTCAAGAAGGGGTACTTTAACCGAACCGCCTTCCTCGGCCTGGGCAACCGGGAAGTATCGTTTGCGCTTCACACCCACAAAGTGTAAAGTACTACTGCAAGACTGGGTGGGCTCGAACCCTAGCCTCATGCTAGCGGATGAACCGATTGAGGTAGCAGACAAATCTGCTTACCTGGGCAGCTGTATCAGTCCCGGTGGTCTCGCGAAAGATGATATTTCCATCCGGATTGAGAAGGCTAGAGCAGCTTTTGTGAACCTACGTCACCTGTGGCGTAGGCGTGACATCAGCTTCTCTGTCAAGGGTCGAGTTTACAATGCTGCTGTGCGCTCCACACTGCTATACAGATCAGAAACCTAGTCGTTGCGCGCTGAGGAAGTCAAAAGACTTTCAGTGTTTGACCATTGGTGTCTTCAGAGCATTGCACAAGTCTGGTGGGAACACCGGATCAGCAACGCTGAAGTACGTCGAATGGTATTCGGGAGAAATAACTCACCCTCGATAGATGAACTGATCACACTGCATGGGTTGCGCTGGCTTGGGCACGTGCTGTGTATGCCAGTCAACCTACTTTCTCGAAGGGTTCTTCTCCCACAACCATGTGAGGAGTGGAAACTAGCCAGAGGCGGTTAAACAATGACTTGGAAGTGAAGTATAAAAGCCATCACCAGCAAACCCAGCTGTGCTGGTCATTGGCGTCTTCCTGGATGGGGACCCTGAGACTGGCCACATCAGTGGTTTAAGACATTGTCAGACATGGCTCATGAACCTCAATGGTGCAACCAAGCTATTCCCTTCAATGCATAGCTTTCTTCTCAATCCCCCTCCCACTTGACAGTCCACCGTCAGTGCTGTATTTACGCACGGATTCATCAGCTCGCCTTCAATACGCAGCTATCTACGTCATCCCCAACCCAAATCATCGGTGGACGAAACTGTGGCAGCCACAACCACTGTACGACATGTACGCGGTTCTCACAGCTGACAATCGTGCATGATGACTTCACCCGGGGAATGTTGGCGGGAGGGCATCCGGACCAGCAGCTCAGTGGCGCTTGAGAAAACATACGCAGTGACAGACCTCTGAAGCTGTAAGGCTTCCAGGTTCGCCGTCAGGGATTCTACTTCAGCTGCGGGATCAATTGAGTGAAAGAGATGGCCGCGATCATGGTTCTAGGTTCTCGGACCAGCGGTTGAGCTTTCCAATGAAGATGGTCGTGCCACTTTGATCAATTATAGCTTCGCATCATCGTAGATGTTTACTTCGATTTACGGTGACTTTCTCCTGGAGGGTGAACAAGGTCCCACTGTTAGACGCGCAGACCACCTGCACACCAAATACTTACATGTTTGCTTTAACATTAGACAGCCAGATTTTCAATAGTCCTCCGTTGCGACAGCACCAGTCCTCAGAAGCGCAATGGCTGTAGGCGGACTTTTGACATTTTGGAATATATTTTACGGAGGATGTGTTCCGGCAGGATCAATTCAGAGGGGCGAAGTACGCCATAACAGCGAATAGCGACGGCCGCATTGGATACGGTAGTATTGTTAGCTGCAGGAACCACGACTGTATGTGGCCGGGGATAACAATAGGGCACCCACAACTAAATAAGAGGGCGATTAGGGCCACCGACCAAAGCCACTGGCTTCACAGCCCTACCGCAAGGTAGCAGTGTTTGGCGGGAAATGTCAGTTCATCCTCGTCTTTGAGGAACAAGTCACCACACGTGCTCCAACTCCCAACATGCAGGACTAGAGGGCCGTGCTGGTTAGAGCTCCAACTACTGTCCAACCTGGTATAACAGGTCACGTGAGTGTTACAGAGATGCCCCTCCCCCAGTACAGATCAATGTGTCAATATGTACACAAATCGCCACATCGCGGCAAGGCCATCGATTGTGAAGATAACGGAGCATCCCTGAACGGCTGCAAAGCACCTACAAACACCGATGTGATGTTGATGATCATTTTATAGCACTTCGTTCTAACGCACCAGTGGTCGAATAAAGATCGACAATCCCGAATGCAAGCTTCAATTGGATGGACGCAGTTGATTTCTGAGAGATTCCGTGGACCAGTGTGAAGCTGCATGAACGTCTTTCTGGCACTGTTGATGTGAAAGCACACCTCTTGCCGTGCTTGAACATTTGCGAGGACATTAAAGTCCACATAATTAAAGGAACTGATTTCGTTTGAGTTCACGGTCGAAATCACTCAGTTGTAACACCTTTCGGTGCCTAGGTGCCATGCTACCCGAAGGAAGCACGAGGGCTGGAATACTGCCAGGTTGCCCAAGCTTAGACGGAGGAAGTCGAGGGACAGAGTTCGGGTTCGAACCACGGACCTTCCGGTCAGTGAATTCGCACTCTAACAGGTTGAGCCATCTCGCTTCGAGTTCACGGTCAACACTAAGTGGGCCACACTGGACATCAACGAAGAATCTCGTCCTTTCAGGTTATATCTGCTCCCGATGTCGCCCCAATCTCAGAAGGCACAAGCGCTGTTGAATAAGTGATCAGCATCACAGTCCGTTCGAGGTGCGCCTCGCGTCTAACAAGTAGTAAGCTATTTTCGAACATTCACCTTGAAATACAAGAAGCAGTGGAGGATTTGTGGTAGCTTCGTCGTGAATGTCAGATGCAGTCAATACACGAACTTCGTAAGCCTTAGTCACATTTACAAGGTATATCAATGGGTCTCGACGGTTTGGATTGTATTGGCGCAAAACATGACACTTCAAGGTGGATGATTTGAAGCACCTGAGTTAGACCACCGAAACATTGGTGTTTCAGGATAACGTCGACAGATGTGACAAGGTGGTCGGAAAACGGTTGTTTACTTTTGTATTAGGGTTAACAGCCACGGAAAACGTCCGGCATTCGAGGCTGAGGTGGCTCGGTCGTGCTAAGCATGCCGAATAATTTACCAAGAGCACTGCTGCTTCCGTGCTCCTTTGAGAATGGCGCAAACTGCGAGACGTGCGTGGTAGAAGTATGTGGAAGAAACTACACAGCCAACGTTTGTGGATGTGGTCTCCATGACCATCACTGTGCTCAGCAGTGAATGCTGCGGAGAATGTCAGTGGTATTGAAACTTCCCATATTGTGCTTGAAATAAGAACGACTCGGTAGTAGGTTAGCATCACATTCACTTCTTATTGTCCTGTTTTTTTTTCAGTATAGAGTTCAAATAGAATTCAGTGATTCTACGGTGAAAGGTTATTCACAATAAGTTGAGGCGGAAAGACACCTTATTTGAGGTGGTTGCCGTAGCCCTTCAGTTTCGTGACGACAACCTCTGGCCACTGTGTTGCTATCTTTGATGACACATGCGCTCTCCATTTGTCAAAAACAAAATACAAGGCTAGTGAGGGACGGGCAGCCCACATCAGGAATTCCTTGTAAATGAAATGCGAAATACAAAAGTGATCAGAACGAGTCACGGTAGCCCCCGGAGGAAGCGGTTAGCTCTGGCCAACGTGGTGCAGCTCGGCCTATGTGGTAGACTTTACTTGCAATGTATTGTGTTTAAGTGAAGAACAGGATCGGAGAGTAAAGAAGCAGTGCCACCACATGCAGACTTTGGGACTTGTTGCGAACGCTCGAGCGAATAATTTCCCGCGGAGACCGGTTCCGCTGCAGCTTCACACGTGGGCAGAACTAATGTCCTATACGTGCCACATTCGTGGCAGTAGTTCCTGTGAAATTAACTGAGATTTTGCCGTGGTGCTTCTCGTTTACACAAGTTTATGACAAATGACAGCCTCTTCATGTAAAACGAACTGTAATTTTATACACTCATCATGTTCCGCGGCTCCTGTGCAGACGGAATCTGGCATGCGTACGAATTCGTCACAGACGAGGTTGGCCCGCGTAGGCCAACATTGAAGGATGTACGGGACTACACAACGGACGCCGGGTAAGGGGTCAGAAGATATGCCTAAACCACGGTTCATCATCAGAGGGCATCACCAACATAATGTGGTTGAGAACAGTAAAATGTGGCATTACTATGGCCTAATGTATCCATTTGCTCGTCGGATACTTAAGAAAGCCGAAGTAGATAAAAGATGGGTCAAGGATCGTTGGTATAAATGAACCGATTGACGGAGGAATGGGTAGTTTAATGCGAGACCGGATAACCTTCGACATCGAGGAAATAACCTCGTCCCTAACAGCGAGTGAACTGCATTGAATGACGATTTGCTGAGGACAACTATCTGTGGCCTAGTTGTTCCGAATTTCCTAAATCACTAGCTGCAAGTCCGAAAAACTTCCACTCATCAAAGCAGCGACGAAAAAGTCCACAGAACAGATTACTTCGCCATTTCTCCACAATTGACAAAGCGATGCTGTGCACAAGAAATCCCAAGCACTGTCGGGTATCCAAGCCAGCACAACTTGTCCCAGACAGCTGGTGACTTGACTCACTGCAGTAAAACCAGCAGTTCATCCGGATTCACATCGCACTGAAAATCAACGTATTCCGAACTGGCACATGCAAACCACACCCAGATAAAAAACGTCACTCATTTGCAGGGGTTAGTTGCAATGAAGGTGCTGGAGGTTCGGTCATTCGGATGGAAAACCAACCAGAGCAGCCAAACGGTCCAACGGACTTACCTGCGGTCTAGAAGGCTTTGAAAACCGAACAAAGCGGACAAACGGTCGAGGGCGGCCACCCTGTTGGTTACCAACACCAGAGGTACGATCTGACGTCCTCATGAATGATCCAGACTTCTCGCTTCCTCCACATTGTTCAGATCCTTTTCCATTGTGTTGGTTCTCCTTGTCATGTTCTGAAATATCTGCGCAGACATCAACAACCAAAAGGTACATACCTGACGATCGATTCCAACGAGTCCTTGAAGGTTCGTTAGTATCGAAGCACACCGGTTTCGGGAAAATGCACTCTATGGTGGCTTGTTCCCATTTCTTTTTTTGAGAGCCACCAGTGACTGTTTGGGGACGAGATTCCACTGCAACATCGTCAAGTGAAGAATCAACATTCTATTAATTGTTATATACAAGGCCACAATGAATACCTTTCGCTTTGGCTTATCTTTCCCTTTAGTACCCATAACACCAGAGGCCGCTGGATGAGGAGCGAGCGTTACAGCACTTTGTAGCGTGGGCCAGTCTGAATCGCGTGTTACTGTACCAAACTCCATATCAGAACTGTCGCCCGAAGCGCCTGGGACTGTTCAAAAGATGCATTTCTGTTAGAAAAAGTTTACCTTTGCACCACGGATTTTCCTTGTTGCTAATGCACCCATTAGGGCGTGAATTGCTGCCTGCAGTTACACTTGAATCATCACTGAGGGTACCATTGTGTGTGTCAACCTTTAAAAAATTTGGCATATTCAACAGAATATTTATGACCCTACTTTGTTAGTGGTAACAACGGAATCCACACGAGCATCCCCGGTGGCCATGAAGGAATGCGTTGAACCTCCAGCGCGCCGGCGTGACATCCACGCATTTAAACTATCTCAATAGTTTGTGGCCACTTTGTGGGAAAAATCGACCCAGCTGTTCTGAAACAAATGCAGTACTTATACACTAAGCCGATATCTTGCTGCATAAGAACGGGTACTTAATGTACACAGAGTAATTGGTTGGTGGTGACCCGTCATGTCAATAATTATGGTGGCCACCCTCATCCATTTTAATATTTTCACGTTAACCATGAAGAGAACGTTAAAAGACTTTATTATGAGTCCCTTATCTTTGTCTGCCTACCAGTTACCCACTCAGGTGAAGCGCGAAATTTGAAGTTCAACGTCTCAAAAGCAACCCAGCGAACACTACTGCTAACTAATGATGTTTTATCGCTTTAGGGGGGTCCCACCTTGTGAGTACAAACACCGACCACTTAGCTTGATCTGAATCAAGAGAAGAAATGCTGCATCACAGTAATAATCGTGGAACAAGTGACCTTAGTTTTGCATACATCAATTTAATATCCTAAATGAATTCAAATGTTTTCGCTCGTCAAGGATGGTATGAGGTCCCAGTAAAGTTGTCGCTTTGAAGTGATATAATTTAAGTGGTTCAACTATTAGCGGTTTGTTTACGAGCTGTGCAGATTTCGGTCATTTCCTAGGAACGTTGGGAGGCAGTGGGAATTTGCCGAGTTCCAAAAAACTATAGGACTACCTGCCAATAAAAGCATGATTTGTATAAAGGCAAAACGTTAAATATGTTATCACTTCTATGTCTCCTTTCTGTTGGTTTTAGACGCTCACACCTGAAAGATACAAGTGAAAAAAGGGTGTGGCACCTCACTTTATTTTCTCAGCGCGGGGCAGTATACTTGCCAGCGCTAGGATCCCCATAAACAAATGTCTAATAGTGCATTAAACTGGGTTCTAGAAGGAGCGTGGACAGCCGTCGGAGGAAGGTCATTCCACGCAGCTACTACCCGAAATGAGAAAAAATTTTATCTAATGAATGTGTGTGCCCTGAGCTTGAAAATCTTGTTACTATGTCCCAGCCGTGTGTTTGCTGGGTCAACGGTGAAAAACCTGTTTGCCAAGCTTTGTTCAAACAGGGCATAGGTAAGAATTAGGTCCCCTCGGAGGCGACAGTACGCCAGGGGAAAAAGATCAAGAATCGCGAGACGCGTTTCGTATTCCATTTCGTAGTCTCGTAGCGGCCCGCTGGACACGCTCAATGAGAGTAATGTCTTTCGTGCGTCCTGAGTAGACAACTTGGTTGGCGTACTCCAGGAGCGGCTTGACGTAGGCCCCATAGAGTATTTGAAGTCCATGAGAGTAATGCCGGAGAAGGTGCGTCGGACCATCCGTAAAATGGCAAATGCCTTTTGGGCCGATTTCTCATAGTGCAGTAAGAAGGACAAGTTTGAGGAGACCCAGATGCCCAAATCGTTTTGGCATCTATCCCCATGATGTTTCCTGGACCTTTCTCACCATGCATAATAAAGGCATTCGCTGATTCTCTACTAAACGACATATGGACAAACTTTTCGTCATTCAGAGGAAGGTGTCAGTCCAACGATTATTGCTCAGCAGCGTCTACACCCATTTGGAGGACATTGGCATTGGAACTCCAGGCTTTCAGGTCGTCCGCAAAAAGTAGACATGGACTTGCAAGAACGCCTGGGAGGTCGTTGACGTAGATCAGAAACAGCAGTGGTCCCAAGACGAGGCCTTGAGAAACTCCAATGTGGACCGGCGCTGAAGTGATCTGTCCGATACTAACGCCTTGATCCAGCGCAGGATTTTCCCTCGAATCCCGTAAGACTCGAGTTTGTGGGACCTGTGGGACCCTATCAAGTGCTTTAAAAAAGTCGAAAAATATGGCATCCGATATGAGTCCTTCATCCTTGGCTTGGGTTATGCTGTCCATAAATACGAGCATGTTTGTCACGCAAGAGAGTTTTGGGAGAAATCCGTGTTGAGCTGGAGATATCAGGTTGCTGGAAGTGGGCTGATCTAGGATAGCCCGCTTCAGACTGAGGTCCTTCACCTTATAGTCCTCTAGCTGTCAGGCGATAGTCAGTCACCAGTTTTGTAGATTGGCGTGACAATCGCTTCATTCCAAGCAGAGGGAAGGCGGCCTCCATCAGGCGACTGGGGAAAAGAGGCTATTTCCTCCTTCCCTAAGACAGTACCTGTGACTCAACGATATGACTCCTCTAAGATCCTATTCAGTTCCCCCTTTAATTTAAATACTATATGGAAACATAGATCCTGCTGGTGGTATTGCTTGCGCTCCGGTTAACTGAGATGTCCTGTGGGTAATGCCGTTGGAAGGATTCTAATGTATGCCCGTCTCATGACTAGCACCCAATCATTGGAAGAACGCTTAACTCACTTGTGTTTGCCAACCCTCCGTCGGTTCGTTTCCAAATTAGCCTACTATTTGCTATTGCACCCCTGATATGTGTTATTCCATGTGTGAACGCTTCACATTGCGCTAAACACAAGCTGCACTACACATCTATTCCCCAGTTTTGATCTACGTCGTCCAGTATAAAACCGTTTAACCGTTTACAAAAAAAATCAAACACAATGGATTTTATACATCCAGTTACAAGAGGAAGGCAAAATGACGGATATTCCTTTACCGGAGCACGGTAGTTGCCGTAAAGCTACCAGCTGGCAGCCAAACACCCAAAGCCGAAATTTGTTGTTGAACTTAGTAACAGCTAGTCTCGAAACCTACAAAAAACATTATATTGGTTTGAGGTCGGAATTTTCGTTTATCACTCAGTTTTCAAAGGTGCCAATTAAATACTGTCTTATTTTCGCTGCTAACCTTGTTAAACAACTACGTTTTAATAATTTGTCCCCAGATTACACGGAGCGCAAAAGCGTCTCTTATGATCACAGTTGAAAAGAAACAAGTGTGCCCATGTTTTCGTCGGAGATATTAACGTTGTAGGTGATCGCGATCCATTATCCTCTTGTGGGCCGCGGAACCGCGTTTAATTACCGATGACAGTTTGTTACAAAATAGGCTGATCATTATTCCATTATGGACGTTAATTGTCGCCCGGCAGCGTTTTGATGATGCCAAAAGATACGTGTTTTGTAGTTCTAGCTAAATAAATCCGTGTTTAGGCAACTGTAGACAGGAAAAAAACATAATGGTTTACCTCAGGATTTTCGTTTGTTGAAAAAAGTTAAGACCTTGATTATCGGATCAATTGCTAAGACAACGCATCCAGTGTCACAAAAAGTCCTTCCCAATGAAGTCTTGTGAGGAGGTTGCCTTATGAAAATGTACCGAAATATCACGAATACGAGGCTGCCTTTTCAGAACATTCGGGGGAATTAAACCCAAGGTTTATCAGAATGTCATGTGTGAGCGAATCTGATGTGCAAGTAAGTGCTTAGTGAGCGTATACCAAATATGTGCTTCAGTAGTGCATTTAGCTACCGATTCCACCGAACCCAACAAATTGTACAGTTGCCGCTTCTAGCATGCGACCAACGCGCAAGCCTCTCTTCTTATCTAAATTATCGCACTCCACATAATGCGCACTTTCGCATCAAGTATACCAGCAAACCAGTTAGAGAACTATTTACCCAAATAACGTATGTAAATTAAGGAAACATAGGTAACCGGCATAATAATAGATATGATTTTTCAGGTCGCACTACAGAAAATCTCATGACACCTCGCACGCACGTGCATTGGATGCGGTGGTCAGCAACGCAATACGCGCTGTCATACCGTAGGATGCTTACTCACCTGATTTCCTTACTTCACTATACCGAATTTGGTCTGTAAATTTTAATGTTGCTCGCAAGAGCGTTGCAAGAAGTGAGAGTGTTTTGCATCATACTTAAAAATGAACCCAACCGCACATCAGACACACTTTGTATTAAGCAGTATCCAAGGCAGTAGTCGGAGCGTTTAATTTCGTTTACTTCAGACGACATTGTTTTTTGTTTTGTGGATGATAGCATACACGGTCCATAGCGTCATTCACTGACAAATGCCCAAGAAAGAAGGTAGTCCCAGTGCGATCGGCCGTAACGTCCCATTTTACGACCAGAGACAGACACGAGCATCGCAGACTAGACAACAAAGCAGATGGCAAAAGAGTCACCCATTCACAGAGAGGAGAAAACAGACACCAGGCGAAAAGAAGTATCAGGTTTTAAAAGACCGACAGCGCTTGCTAACAACAAGCTTTGTACAGGGGCCGGATAATAGTTTGGTTCATCCAATGATCGTCTGAAATTTTCGTGGCCAGTAATCTCGTGACGGTATTTGTTTGCATTTGTCATGTGCCAGGGTCTAAATTAATGGTTTGCTTTGGATTGGTTTCTCGATAGATCATCTTCCCGTTTTATTACCACTAGTGACAACCTGCTCTGGTCTGCTTGAACCATAAAGTAGGACGTGGTAAAAATATTTTTTTAAACATAGCCCGACAGTATCGTTTCTTTCTCGTCGCCTCTCTTCTCAAGCTTCAATCCCCGACTGCAGTTGCTCAAATGCCCCTTAGAACTGTTATTCATTCAAACCGGCTAGTGCCTGGTCTACACTCGCACGGTCCTCCAACAAAAGAGAAATTATCCTTGAGCCTACATCTGCATGATTCCCTGTGTCAATCTCCGTCTCACCCAGAACCAGCTGCCACGGAACCGCGTATCCCTTCTCCGATCCTTGACGACCGTTATGGGGCCGTGTAGCGACCCAGTCACCCACATACTTGACTGTTCAACTCACAGTCGCTCACTGGATCGCGAG